CGCTGACAATCGATAAAAGAATCATGATTTTAGTCATTTAAAATGAGTCTTTTCTGACTTTTACATGAATTATTTTTTACATGAAAGTGTGTCCGCAGTTTTTACAGATAGGCATTGTAGCTGTCTCTTTAATGAAGTTACTTGCTTATTCAAAACGATGCCAATTTTCGCCGAGCGATTTTGACTAGAAATCGATCGTTCATTAAAAGAAACGTTTTTTTAAGTGAACTGAAAACTATGCTGTTTTTATACTCCGGCTGACTAGAAGTATCTTTGAAAATGAACAGTCTTTGCTCTACCCTTAGTTTCACATGCTCTCAATTACAAAAAAGCATGATACCTTGGTTTAATTGGAAAGCTGACAATTCTCATGGACTTTTGGTAAATCCTACTTTGATCGAAAGTAAAAATGCCGAACGATAAAAATATCGAAAGTCAAAAATCGAAAGATAAAAATGTCGAAGATAAAAATATCGAAACACAAGATGTAGACAAGTAAATATGTCGAATGATAAATATATCGAACTGTAAAAATATCAAAAAAAATAAGATGTCGACTGGATGAAATGTGGAAACTATTTAACTATTATTTAACTGAAAATAAACGGTTCAATAAATTTATTTCATTTGAAGAATTGATGCATAGAAAAAGGCTTTTTTTATCAAATAAAAAGTGAAGAACTGGATGAATCAATTAGGGTGTGGGTGCGTGGGTGTGGGTGTGGGTTAGGATGCGGCTGTCTGAGGAAGAATGGCTCATACTCAAACACCACGCCCATACCCATCCACATCCCACACATCCACACTTGCACACCCACACACCCCTTCCTACCAATCAGCGCAGGGTGTCATCTTCCTTTAAGTTATCAAGTGTTCTTCTTTCTATATCTCACTTCATTAATTTCAAACGTCAGAAACGTTATGAAATACATGTTTCGATAAACTTACTTTCGACATTTTATCATTCGATATCGAAACATTTCGACATTTTAATATTTCGACATTCTTATTTTTCGATATTTTTACTTTCGACATTTCTACGTGTTAGCGTTCGCGCTCACGAAGAGCGACGAACACAGTTAACGTGTGTGTGTGGTTTATTCTCTCTGTTTATTCTTTTACAAAACAAGAGTTTATATACGCACATGAAAAAATGTGGACAAAATAGAAAAGAAGACAAAGGTTAATCAAGGACAAAGAAAAGAAGTTAAAGAAACGAAAAGACAGAAACGAAAATATCAAAGAGAAGAGAATAGAGAGGATCGAGGTATACGTTATGAGAATACACTGTAACACTACGTTTCGATGTTTTTATCTTTCGACATTTTTACTATCGACATTTTTCTTTCGACATATTTACTTTCGACCAAAGTAGGGTGAATCGGACTTTTTAATTAGAGACTTTTCAATGTAGTGATGTAGATTGAATTCAGTGACTAATAAGACTTTTTATGAAGATTACTACTTCTTCCTATGGTATTTATATCTTGATATTGACGTGAAAAAAATACACAGGCCTAGATAGGCAGGTCTAAGAAAATGACAGGCAGGTAGGCCAGGCCGAGGAAATCAGAGAACAGGCATAGGCAGGCTAGAAGAGGTGTAAGCCTGCCACAGGCAGGCCAGGCCTTCAAAAAAGTGGGCCTGTTTGGACCTCTGCAATAGATTATTTGATTTTATTCTAAAGATTGTTCATAAAATGTTTTAAATTAAGATAATCTATAATAATGATTTAAAATAAGAAAATGTTTCTTTTTTAACTTATTATTTAAAAAAAAACGATTTAATAAAAAACTTCTTAAACATGGTTGAAATGAAAAACACATCAAGAAAGATAAGATAAACGCCTGATATGTACGTCACGTTTTATTCTTGGTTCTCGTATCTAATGCAAAAAAAAACATGATAAGATCGAACAATTTATATTTGATATTTCTCTTACAATGAAAGGATTCATGTTTAAAGTAAATTAGATTAGAGATATTCGGGTCGAATTAAAGCTCTTATTTAGGGGTGTCAGTTTTGCGTTCCGTTCCCAGGAACGGGAACGCATTTGTGTTCCCCTTTCTCGGGAACAGAGAACGCATCTCAAAATCGTATTTTCAGCTTTATTTCAGCAGGGCAAGGTTTGTAGATGTGTTCACTTGTGTTTTTATGTTTGTTTGTTTCGCGTTCCCCGTTCTTGGGAACTGGGAACACTACCCCATTCCCCGTTCCTAGGAACGGAACGCTAAGGAACGAGGAACGCTGACACCCCTACTCTTATTGGCAAACTAATAATTTATAATACTAACTGCTGCTGAGATGTCTGATTAAAATTTATCGTAAAACATTAATTTTTAAATTGAAAACATTTTTTCTCATGTAATTTGATGAGCTATATCTATTTATGACAACAAATGAAAAAAATAATTCTGTCTCAATTTTCATTTGTGTGTACACTACAATACAATTGAATTAACCATACAACTCGAAAGTCTCAGTTTAAAAAAATAAAAAGCAAATAATATTCTAAATTAATTAATGTAGCAGTGAGAGATTTAATATAACTCGAATGTGTTTAATTTTATCTAGTGAGAAAAAAATTCTTCAATTGTAAGTAGATTCTATCTATGAAAAAATTTTTATAGATTAAGCAAAATAATTTCTAAGAACACATGCAATGACGACAATAAATAATATATTTGATGTAATTATTGTTGGATGTGGTCCAGCTGGTATTGGTGCTGGTATTGAATTCGAAAGAATGAAATCAAATATAAATTATCTTATTTGGGAATCACGAAATAGAATTGGTGGTAGAGCGTTTACTGACATAACAACATTTGGTGAAAATATTCCAATTGATATTGGTGCTCATTATATTTGTCATCATGAACGAGAAAATATTTTACGTAGTTATTACATTCCATCCAATGAGGATTTCATTGAATCTGATAATTATGATCCATCAAACATGAAAATTTTTGATGAAAATGGATGTATTTTTTCTGATGAATTTATTAATAGAGCAATGAAAATTGTTGAAGATTTATTATTAATTGTTAAAGAATATCCAAACGAAAAACCAGATACATCGATATTAGATTTAATTAATGAACAAATTAAAAAAATTTCAAATCAACAGATAAAACGTCTTGTTCAAATGGGTCTTAGTTATACAGAACTTCATGAAGGTTCAGATTTAAATCAACTTTCATGTAAATATTATGAAAGAGGAGAAGGTCATCTTCAACAATCTGATTTATCTATTGCTAATGGTTTAGGATCATTAGTTAAAGAAATAGCCTCAAAATATAGTCTTACGATTAAATTAAACTCCATAGTTACTAATATTGATATATTAAGTGAATATGATCGAATTGTTCGAGTTTCGACAAAAGATAATAATTCATATTTATGTAAATATGTTCTTTTAACAATTCCACTTGGTTGTTTAAAATCAAATTCAATCATTTTTTCTCCATCATTACCACAATGGAAAGAAGAAGCTATTCAAAAAATGGGTTTTGGCTTACTTAATAAAGTTTATCTTCAATTTTCTAAGATTTTTTGGGATGAAAAATTAAAAAGAATTACTATTGTTACTGATCGATTTAAATTTTATTACTGTTTACCTCAATATCGTATGTTAGCATTATATATATCTGGAAACCTAGCCAGACAACTAGAAGAAAAAATAGATGAAGATATTGTAGACGAAATATATAATTCTCTTCGTCATGTTTATCCTAATATATCTTATCCAATAAAATGGTTAATTACACGATGGGGATCTGATCCATTTTCTAAAGGTTCATATTCAAGTTTTCATCTTGGTAATGATTTAGAAACTTTAAAAGACTTATCTATAGAGACTCATGATGGTCATGTACATTGGGCTGGAGAACATACCAATTATAATGGATCTATTGGCTATGTTGATAGTGGATTTGAAAGTGGAATACGTGACGCAAAAAAAATTCTCAATAAACTTCAATCATTCACATAAGATAACATAAACTATGTATGCTCTTGTAAAAGTGTTCACATTTCATACATCGAGTTTTCAAACAAAATCATATTGAATGATATCTTCTCTTCTATTAATTAAAATATAGACATTCTTTTTATAATCATTTCAAGTTATTTATTTTTATTGTTTATTTCATTTAGTTTTAACTTGTTATAAATTTAAGAGATAATAGCCTCTTGAAAATCACGCGTTTAACTGTTGCCGTTTCTGATCAACCAGAAAAAAATCAGAAAATCTCTTCTTCTAGGGTGTGGGTGTGGGGTGTGGGTGGGCGTGGGTGTGTGGGTGTGGGGGTGGTGGGGGTGGGGGTGTGGGTGTTTCTTTGCGATATCCACACCCACACACAGAGCCTCGCACACGCACCGCCACCAATGAAGATGAAG